GCTGTAAATAGCTTTGTTTATATATATATATATATATAATTTATTTTGTCTTTTAAATTTTATTTTAAGTAATTTAACTCTAATTTTAAATTAATTACTTTTGATTTCTTAGTTAATAGTGAAATTAAAAAAAAAATTGACTAGAATAAAAAAAATACAAGACATGAATGGCATGCTAAAATTTTTGAGAAAAATATAATTTTATTCTTAAATTTTAAAAATAATATAAATTATACAATTTGACTAGAATAAAAAAAATGCATGCTAAAAATTTTGAGAAAAATATAATTTTATTCTTGAATTTTAAAAATAATATAAATTATACAATTTCAATGTCTCCATATTTTTTTAAATGATTTTGATATAAAAAGAGGAGATAGAGAGAGATCGTTAGATTTTAATTACAAAGAAAGAGAAAATATTATCAATATTAATTTAAATTATTAAAACAATCGATGTTTGTTTAAAATAATTTTATTTGATAAAAAATATTTATATTAGATATTTTTTATTTTTAAATGTCTTTAAATATCATGAAAAAAAAAATCTCTATGATAGATTTTTTATTTTCAGTTTATTTGGTAGATCTTTACCTTTTTACATTTATATGTTTAATTGTTTTTTTTATTTTTAGTTATTATTTATGATTTTTTATTTATTTAATTCCATACATACATTAAAAAAATTATATATATATATATATAGATATATTATTTTAAAAAATAAATGACTCGTGATGACAAGCAAGAATTTAATTTATAACATTGCTTGTAGACTGGGAGAGAAAATAAAATATGGATCGGTGAATAGTCTCATGGGCCCATTAATTACATTAACAAAATAGGGCTCTTCTATTAAACTGACTTTGGGCTGACCGGTTCACCAACTGATTCAATGTGGACAAACTTGTTATTATCTCCAAGTTTGTGGTTACTTTCCTTCCCGAAGCCCCGACCTTACCTACTCCCCATTCCAAGGTAGAACTCAGATACCAGAACTCAGGTCAGGCGTCGTAGAAGTCGTCTAATAATCAGTTGGGTTCATGTTCTGTTTAATAGAGTATTAATAACTGTAATCAAAAGTTTATAAGTCTTGGTTTTTATTTTTCAATTTTTATGATTGTCTTCTAATTTCGGATTTATTGCCGTTACGATTGCGTGAGATTCTGTGTATTGATCAGCTAGATTTGATACTCGTTGCTGATAATTTCCACACAGTTTCTTATTATTACTGGCTAAATTCCTTCTTTCTTTCTTTTTTTTGAACTTGGGGGTTGTCAATTTGCGCATCTATTGTTAAATATTATGGTTTTAATTTACTGCTATTTAATTTTTCTTTTAGATACCGTTCTTTAGTTTGTTGATTTTTTTGTAACGAGTCCTGTATCTCATGATTGTTCATTGGTTTAGGATTGTAAGCTAATATGGGAAAGGACTCGAAGCCAAAAGACGCTGGAGCGAAGGGAAAGGGTAAGGGAAAGCAGGCTGGGGGTGGGAGTGATGAAAATGCTTCCAAGGGGAAAGGAAAATCTGGAAAGGCTTCAGATGGGCTTGGCACTTGCACTTATGTCAAAGGTTTTTGTTGTATGCCCTACTAGTGGGTTCTTTATTTTTTATTTTCTATCTGGTTTAAAAGTGAAATTTGATCTCTTACGACCCATTAGAAAGTTGTATTTTTCAATGTTATTGTTTGAAGACCGTTGTTTAGAAACTTGATTGTAGAAGATAAATTTTGGATTCCCTGAATTAGAAATTTGTGCTCAGGATGGCATGCTTATACACTATGCATCAAACTATGTACCTGTTTCATGTTTTACTTGTCAACATGAGCTTGGCTTTGTTCAAGGGGACACATATTCAATTGTTATATCCCTTACACGTGATCTATCAGTCATCCAGTTTCTGAGATTCTTAAATTGCCTTTAATTGTTTATTTCAGCGAGGCATATATTATGTGAGAAGCAAGGCAAGATCAATGAGGCATACCAGAAGTTGCAGGATGGTTGGCTAAGCAATGGTGACAAGGTTCCCCCAGCTGAGTTTGCAAAGGTAAACTCACTAGTTATGATCTTTTTCTTGCAAGAATTTGGTTTCTGAATATGCATCGAGTATTGACAGAAATTAGAGCACTGTTTTACCCTGTTGAGGATATTCCAACATTTTCCTTTCTTTCTATAGCAAAGAAACTGTTTTTTTTAAATCTGGATCAATTTTCTTCTGATATGAATTTCAAGCGGAAAATTGGATAGATTTGGTTTGAACTTCTGGTTATGCAAAATATCTAAAGGAATCTTGGGTGTTGCTTTGGTAGTTTGGTTATTTCCTGTATAGCCTATTGCTTTCCTGGAATTGAATTTGTGCAATATTTTATCCTTTTTTATTCCAGTTGGCTTCCGAGTACTCAGAGTGTCCATCAGGAAAGAAAGGCGGAGACCTTGGATGGTTCCCTCGAGGAAAGATGGCGGGTCCCTTTCAAGATGTGGCATTTGCCACCCAAATTGGAGCTACAAGTGCACCATTCAAGTCAACGTATGCAATAACTTTTTCTGCTTATCCAATCATCTCTACTTCTAGAATCATTTTGACTGCAGTTTGCTCTGCGGCTGTGTCTCTATGCCTTTATATGCAAACTATCCTTCACCACAAAGCATGACAGAATTTTGAGAATAAATAGCAATACTGATATTCATGCATGTCGTGAAAGTTTCATGTTGGACAACTTCTATCTATTAAAAGGAGAATCACATTCAAAACTAGTCGAGAATGTGACTAAATATGGAAAGTCATATAGTCGCACCAAACACTTGGAAATCATGTTACCTCAACACATGATTCTCATGTAAACAAGAAGGATCCTAGGAAAGAGAAGCGTTCACATTCATGTCCAAATTGTCCATGAAACATTCAGGATTTAACTTACTTCACAGTATTCAGTTGACAAAAATGACGCCACCTTGCTATGATCCTGATTATATTCTGATATTTCCCCTGGTGCCAACAGCATATGCTATTTTTATCACCATCCTTCGATTTTATAGTTGTGCCTGTGACATAACATTGTGATTTTGCATTGGTGTGGAATGTTTTGTAGATTTTATCTTCACTACATTTTCCTGGTTTAAGATTCAGGATTGTCTTTCATTACACTCTGATTGTATGCAAATTTGCTAGCTTCTATACCATGACTAGTTCTAAATTGGTGCAGACATGGGTATCACATAATATTGTGTGAAGGGAGGAAGAATTAATCGAGCTGCCTTTCTGATGGAGAAGTCTTGGACCAGTGGCTTGTGCGATATTAAATGTGTTTAGACACTTTATGTTGCTGTGAACACAATGGCTCTTTTGCTCTTTCTGTGACTAATGAAATGAATTTATTAAGACGAAGAAGATGGGTCATTCTCTGTCCACTTGCCGGCCTGAAGCCCAGCCAGAGGCGATGAGTGGACAGGTAGAACCCAAAAGTATCATTGCGGATACAATATCTAGTGATTTTGTGACATATCAACCTCTTTGCATGTGTAATTGAGGCCAGAATATTTCCTATCTTTTTCGGGTGTTGGGAGGACAATGGGACGGGGCCAGGCGCAGGTATGCTAGAGAAGAGCGTTGCCATGTTAATTCTCGCCGGGATAGCAGGGGATACTAGCAATTGTAGTTTCCATAAATTACAATGCTGATGCTCGCAGTTTGGGTGATCTCTAGTATCTCCATCAATAGCGGTCGGTCGTATGTTTTTCTTGTGTCGAACAAAGAGAGCATGTTGCCGTTTTGGCAAATGGTCTTCTGTGCCTAGCATAAAAGCTAGTTAAAGAAGTCAATGAAAACAAATAATGGCTGCCTCTGGAGTGCGGATTCTTAAAAGCATGCGGATCTGCTTTTGTATTTTCACCGATACCTTGCAACGGCCTTGGATCTCTCCCTCGCCCTCGGGAGTCCTTGTTACTCGCGTTGCAATTCTTTTTTCTCGGGAACATCAATTTGCAAACCAGCGTGCTTTAAATAAATCCAATGGCACTTAACATCTAAATCTCGTACCCCATGAAAATTTGTAAGCGACGTGGATAATAACAATGTTTGAGTATCATTGGAAGTACGGATATTTTGTTGAACGGAAAACTCACTGACAGCAGTTCACTGTGGGGGTCGGCTCTCCTAAATTTCCAGTTACAATAATAATAAAAAATGCAAATTAAATACCTCTTATGAGGAATAGACACTAATTTCAGTTGAACGGCGGGTCATTGATGAAAGGAAGTCTACCTTTAACACAGACACCTTTACTCACGCCTTGCTAACAGGTACTTCACAGCAAGAAAATCACATCAAAGCTCTCCGAGCATAATTCATTTGAAAATTCATTACATTCTACTTCTAAACTCTATGCAAAATTGCTGAACTAGTGAAAAACAACAACTGAAACTACAAGTCATCATGATCATCAACCACCTTTAGACCCCAGCTGATATCCTCACAGTGTCTCACATGAGGAACTAGTGCACCCGTATCAATTCCTTTCTTAGCCTTGCAATCATAAAAGGGAGGAGCATGAAAACAAGGTTCCATCGACATGGCCCGGCGACAAGGGGGATCGGGGGCTGTATCATTTTCAGTCTTGTACAGGATCCATGGCCTCAAACCTCCAAGACCTTGAGCCACATAGCCAAATGTTGACCATGCACTTGTGACCAAGACATCAGTCAAACTGAGAAGGTACATTTCTGCCCAGGCTTTTCTGTTGTGCATCTGCTTTTCTGTTTGTTGAAACTCCTCATGGCTAGGCTGGTAGACTCCAACGACTTCCCCAGTCATGGTTGGACGTTCCCAGTACATGTTCCTTAAATCTTCAGAATACCCTGAAAGCAAGGATGTCACCAGAACCGCCTTCAATTTGGCATTTTCAGAAGGATTGACAACGGAGTCTTGCATGTCTACAGAAGGCAATAACTTCTCTTTCAAAGTACAAGCTAAAATTTGATCCATGACGTGTTTAAAGGGACCATGTCTTGAATCAAAAGTTCTTATCTGAATGCCAATTCTCTCATCAGCCTTGGCTAAGTAAGTTCGATAGTACCTTGTTATTAGTCCCCACACATGATTTGAAGGGTGGTAAAGGTACCGTCCGAGGTGGTGGAAAACAGTTCCTTTCTCAGGAAATAAGCTGCCCAGTTCTGTCTCGAAAGATGGAATCAAGAAAAGTGAAGGAACATAGTAGTTATCTGTTTTCATGATCAACCAAGGGACATTTTCAAGAAAAGACTGTTCTCCATCACAGAAGAAAAGCTTATCATGATCGCCATAGTCATGAACTAAATGGAGGTATAAATATGATGGTTTTGACATTGCTGAAGAGTTTATGACATTATTCTTTAGCATATTCCCATGACAGTGAAGAGAATTCCGATTAAAGCTGTCAAATTGATCAATGAGAGGGAAGTCCCTTGGCAGCAACCAAGATTTATCAGGAAACGGCTCACAGAAGAGATCTGCCATGTCCTTTCCTTGGTCAACAAGCAGGACTCTATTTGTCAGGAGAGCATAAAGAAATGTTGAAGCTAGGGATAATATCCTGTTGCCCAAGCCGCTAAAAGATATCCACACAATGTAATTACAGTCAGTCAAACCTATTTTGTTGCCAGACTTGAGTTGCTCCAGGGCTTTATTGTAGGATTGAGTATTTGGTCCACAACGTTTATGAAGATCCTCGTAGCTTCTGAGTCTCGAAATGAGATATGATGAAGGCTTATGGAAAGAAATTTTGCGATATAAGAATGAACTGTACCTACTCGTGCAAGCAGCTTCGTCAAACCCATCCGCAAGAAGCCCTCCAAGCAGTTTGCCATTATACTTGTCAGCGTGCTGAAACAAAACGCCCTCCGAACCTAACGAGTCAGAGAAGAAAGGGGAAGTTATAACAACTCAGCAAGACATATAATTCAGATCCTTTACTGGGTAGTAAATCGAATAATATATGCGTAGACTTTCAGCACGGATATTGAATCTTCAATTTGAAATGCAGCAGTAACAGTAATGGTAGAAGAGGGCCGTGGTCCACGGAAAAAAGACCAGGGCGCTCTTTCTTTGACAAAGAAGGTAAAGTCAGATCCTTAACTTACGCAATTACAGTTAGAAACAGCGTTTTTTCCCTAATCAATTAGATAGCTATAATTACAATTAAAAAAACAATAATGCAATCATCCGATGTATCAAATCACGGATCACTAAAGCTAGCACAGCAGTTTTCAAACCAGGTCCCAAGTCATGAATTCGAATAAATCAAACAATCCTGGCAATTAAGAAACCTCGAAATGGTTTAAATTAAAAACTCAATTTCCAAAATGTGAACTCACCGCCTCCTCCAATTGGCGTGGCATTCTGCTTGACTTCTCTGTTTTCAAGAACTCTGGCATCCGCGAACCCCATCGTTCGATCAGACGACGGGTGTCTAAAGATCAATGATATTGCGAATATTATTGGCAAAACTACCAAGCAATAAGCAAAGATCTGGGTGAACGTGATCGCATTGGATCCAAATCTCTTCGCTTGCATTTTTGAGTTTTGGGCTAGCTGTTGATCTGTGTCCTCCGACGGTGGTGATCGCCTCCTTGTGGAAGAATTCAGATCCATTCAATTCAATTCAATTCAATTCAATTCTGCATCTCTGAAGTTTCGATTTTCACCTCCCTGCGAAAAGAAGGACGGGAAGAGGGTTGTCTCTCTTTAAAGAGTGCGCTATGCTATAAAGAAAGAGAGGTTCCTTTCGTTTTCCCAAGGGTAGAACTTCAACGTATTTATTTACACATTCGCCACGTAGTCGGCAGATGGTGGAAAGGTCAAAAAGGGCAGACCGAATTTAGCATCCAACCCAAACCAGGAACATCTCAAATTATCAGTGTTTTAAAACCTCATCCGGTTGTTTACCTAGCCAATGCCTGAATTATGAATTTTAATCGAATTATATAGATTAATTTTAATTTTTTTATAAATTAAAATAATATTATTTTGATAAAAATAAAAAAATAATTAACAGGTTCAATCGAATTTTTAACCAACTTAACTAAGTTTTTAACTATTTTTTTTTTAAATTTAATTCGGTTTTGATTTCAGATCAATATGAGATTTTAAAATTATGAATTATTTGGTTTTAAAAGTTAGTTTATTTTGTTATAAAAAATTTTTGTGTAAATTTTTTTGATATTAGGTTTAAAATTTATTTTATATATAAAATTTTATTTAATAGTAATGATAAAAAAAAATGATAATAAGATTCTAGTGTTGATAAAAAAAAATAACAATGATATAATAATGATGGAGAAGAAGATAATAGTAATAAAAGATAAGGTAATGATGGGATGATTGATAGCTTGAGCTTCCTAGGTTCACTGGCTTGAATAGGATGATTATAAAAAAGATAATTATGGTAAGTTGTAAGATATTTTATAAAATTTATTTAAAATATTTTTTAATAAATAAATCAAGTTTATAGATTGATTAAAAAATATTTTTATTTACTAGATTTTTAAAAAATATTCACAGGAAACAACATAATATAAAACATTTAATATATATATATATATATCATGAAAAAGCATGGAAAATTCTAAAAAAATATTTTATTGTAAAATAAAATATTTTACACAATATTTTATTGTAATTTTAAAATGTTTGGCATAAAAAATAAATAACACACAAACACACAAATGTATCCTAACTAATTTGGAAAATTAATTGTATAGAAAATCCAGGACCCGGTAGTAAGAAAATTAATTTTATATTTCTATCCTGAAAATAAAGAAATCTCAGCACTTCCCTTCAAATTAATACATAAATACCATACATGCTTAACTTGTCTGCAACTTTAAATACAAATTATATTGGCCAATTAATCTCTACACAAATTTATTTTTCAACTTTTTTTTAATGAAAAATATATTTTATAAGATCATATTAAAATAGATTATAAATAATACACTTGGATTGAGTTTCTTGATTTGAGCTCAAATCCAAGGAGTTTGTCTTTGTTAGGTTATAAAGTGTGTCCAGGCGCGAGTAGTGTTCATTGTTTTTTAGATAAGTAGGTTTTTTTAAAAAAATTCTAAGAGAATGGAAAAATCAGGTAATTCTCCAAAATAAAATCCAAAAAAATTCAGTGAAGGGAAAACAATTCCGAGGTACCCTTAATCACTTGAGATATTTTTTCAATTAATATACAAGTAAATTGTGTATAGCTCAAACTATCTACAGTTTATTGGGTAAAAAAGACTCAAATTATTTCGGAAAAAATAGGATTTTTTTATATTTTTCTTAAATATATTCTGGAAAAACCTAATTCAAAAATAAAAAAATAAAATTTATGTTCGAAATTTTGGGAAAAAAATTATGAATTGGAAATTTTTTCTTCGAATTACCAGAATGCTCATTCATATGTACGACCAAGAAATTGAATATCAATTCTAAAAAAGAAAAAACAAAGAAAAAAAAAAGAAATTTAATATTACCACCAACAATGCCGTGAAAACTAGCATAGTCTGGAATAAAAGGAGAGAAAAAACAAAGAAGAGGAAGAAACGACACCGTATAAATTTTTAATAAATCTCCGCTGCTCGCTCTTGAACACAAGCAGAGCTATAAGGTTTTTATCACTTTACTTTCGCGCAACAATGGCGTTGAGACAGGGACTGCTAAAATGCGCTGCCGGCGGCAACAGTGGGTGCAGGTCAGGAATCAGGAGGTGGGCCCATGTTCCAGCCATGGCTTGGCCTTTGGATGACGCCTTAGAAAGCTATATTGCGTCTCCACAATTGACTTTAACCGAGTTCGATGCAAACCAAGACACCGGCAGCAACAGTAGCAATTCTGGGTTCGGGTTGCCGGGTTTTTGTTTTGGTGGGTGCATGGAACTCATGGCTGTTCCTAAAAGGAAGGTAAAGTTATTCGCTCCATTTCTGTTTCTTAGCATTAAGCATTTGATTGCTTTTTTCTGGTGACCATGCCTTTATTGATTATTTTTTTTACGTGTTCTTTGATGTTTAGGATTTAGGTTTAAACTTCCTGTGATGATTTTTGTAATAATTAGGGTTTAGGTTTTAGAATGGATGCCTATCTGACTTGAAAGCCTAAGAATTTTTATTTTTTTTATATCATTGAATTTTGAAATATTAGTGTGACGGCACTTCTTATGCTTATTCGTGTATTAACATTATATACAGACTGCTGTCTGATTAGAACCATTCAGAGGATTCGGAGCTGCCATTTTAGATTGTTTTATTTTAAGGCTGAATTTTAAGTTCTGCAGTTTTTTTTTTCCTTGTCTTTGAAAGGCCCAAATTTAGAACTTATTAAAAAACATAAAGCACGAGGTATAACATTAGGGAAGAACCCACTGCTTGTGTTTTCATCTATCTGTAAAAAGAGTGATTGGAACCTGATGACCCAGCACATCTACAAGTCAATCCTGCAGGAAAACGTCTCTGCACTATAGCATTACTTAACTACATATTAGGTATTACTAGTTGAAATGAGTCGTAAGTCTGCCAGAGAAATTAATGTTTACTGAGAAGAAAATGGCTGTTTCTCTTGCTTTATTTCCTTATGGTTTGGTTTCATATTTGATGACATAAGGGTATTAGGGGATTTTGCTGCAATAACTGGTTTGGTTCTGTATTTAGAATGTGATGAGGTTGACCTGGATATTGCCAGATATTGTCCCTTTTTTATTGGGGATTTTGCTTTCAGAAATCAGCACATCTAATGTTTTGGCCTGTAGAAGTTTTTCCACAGGCATTTCATTTTCCTAGCTGTTTGATAATTTATTTTGGATGGTTTCTTTCAGTTGTGAGGTCTGTTGATGAATAACTCGTTATATATCCAGTATCAGGTTGACAGTAACTGCTCGTATGCATGAATATGGTGCTTTAAACACCAAAATCTGTTCTAGAGTGATTTTTTATGTTTAATTAAATTGGTTTTTGATTTTCTTTTCATGCTTATGTCTTGATTTTTTCTTACAGTGTACAGTAGTGATTTTTGAATCTTTATCCTCATGCAGGTTACTCCCCATAAGAGAGGTATACGAAATGGGCCAAAGGCTTTGAAACCAATACCAGTGATTATTCGCTGCAAGTAAGGATTTGCTAATGTTGTTGGCAATTTATGGAAATCATTATATGAAGCAAAATCTTGAGTCTTATATCATAAAAATCTGAAAAGATAAACCTAGAGAAATTGAAATAAAATATACAAGTTGCTCATCCAGCAACTAAGAAAGAATTGTGGTTTCTCCCTTTTGCATTTTAACTTATGGGTTAATAGATAAATGAGTCAGAAGGGATCTGAGCTATACTTATCACGCTATATGTCCAGGATGTCAAACAAAAGGAGTGTCTTATAAAGTGATTAAACAAAGTTGAAACAATTCTGTACCGTGAAGCCATGAACAAGGACATGACAATGAATAAATTCAGTTTTGATATTTTTAGTTGCCTTTTAATCTCATATACTATCTATCCATCATTCAATTTCAAACCCATTGTTAATTCTCATAACTACTGCGAGTATGGCATTTATGTTTGATTCCAGCTTCCTAAATGCTCACCTATGAGCAAGGTATGCCAATGCCTTGTAAGTGATGTGCTGCAATTGATTGTTTGATTGCAGGAGCTGTGGACAAGTTAAGCTGCCGCACTTCTACTGTTGCAGTGGTGAGCGGGGGAAGAATGGCGAGCGAAATAATTAAACAATCTGGTCAAGTAAACTGGCTATGAAATGGCTTCCTTCGATAGCCTATATAGCTCAGCATTTAAATTTCTATTTCCATGGTTGAAATTTATGTAGCTGTTAAGAACTTGAATAAATGGTTTTCTTGTGGGGATGTGGAATGCTGTGTGTTAGTTGTTCTTTTACATTTTTCCCCTTTTAAATCTTTTATGAGAAAATTTGCCTTCCCTATTGAAAGAGATATTAATATACACAATGTGAAATGGAAGGAAGGAAAAAGAGTAGGGAAAAAAAAAAATCCAAAATGTAGACTTCATGCGGTATTGTGGCCAATGGATCAGTACAAAGGCAAAGACCTTCACACAGCTTGTATATTAAGGGATACTGAGGTGTGACACTGTTGGTTATGGTTTATAAAAGCTCTCTGGACTTAAGTTGTTGAGTTGAGACCTTAGCATATCTTATTTCTCATCAGGTAATTGGAGCTACGTTGGTCGCAGAATGCATGTGCATTTATTTCTTTTCTTTTTTGAACATGTATGTAGCTCTTGAGTTAAGTGTGTGCATTCATCTGTGATGCTTGGACTCTTTGGTTTTCTCCGACATTCCCCCGTCGACATGGCACCACACAACACGGATATGGTGGTGGAATACCAGTTTGACCCCCGCGAAAAATCCAGACTGGGCAATTTGGCTCTCCGATCTCTGATCTAGTCGTTGCTGCGTATTCTTGTTTTTCCTTTTTACGTCATTGCTGCAGATGGGAAGGAAGGAGGAAGGAGAAGAAAGAGAGGCAGGCCCCCACGTTTTCAATGATGACACATAGCTGGAATAATTAATCTAAAGATACATGTGGGCTTATTTATAGTACAAACTTCGCCATGAACTGATGTTTTTTGGAGTGGGGATCTAGGGCCTAGCTTAATAATAAGAAAAGTTTTGGATCTCTTAATATTTTGGTAATGTTCATATTTAAAGTGAAAGCATTCCATATTCAAAATTTTGAACACTTTTAGACCGTGTTTTTCGTCTTCTAAAATCCAAAATCTTGACAATTCCATACACTTATAGAATTGAAAGTGATTAGTTTCTTAAAAGAGCGATTTGATGTCACCTATGACTACTGTTCACAATGCACAAACCTTATAAGATATTAAGAGTTGATGATTGTAAGAATGTTTCTTTTTGTGTTTTAAAAGTATTTTTAAAAAAAATTTAAATATTTTTAATTTTTAATTTTGAATTAATATTTTTTAGTGTTTTTAAAATATTTTAATATTTTAATATATTAATATTAAAAATAATTTTTAAAAAATAAAAAATATTATTTTAATATATTTTTAAATAAAAAATATTTTAAAAATAAACTATAATCACGTTGTCAACCACGTATTAGTTTCCCACGTCGCCCAATTTTCTTATATCTATAATCACGTTGTCAACCACGTATAACGGGAAAGCAAAGCAAGAAAGTTTCCCACGTCGCCCAATTTTCTTATATTTCTGACATGTATTTCTCCTCAAAGCAAAACGGTCGAAAAAAGCGGCCTCAGTTCTATAAAATGCTTCCGACTGCAGCACCATACTCTCCCTCTTAAGAGACGTTTCACATTCTAAGCGAGCCACGAAATACACGTGTCAGGCCATTAGCGGAAATCATACTGCGCCGAAATAATATAATAATATACCATGGGGCTCTGTTCCGTATGCTTCATCCATCCTCCGCTTTGGTTTCAGCCAATCAAGTGAGGTTGCGTCCACTGTATTTCAAAATCACGGGTCTGATCTCTTGAAACCAGACGAGTGCATTGGTATTCGGAGTATCAGATTTTTCTTTAGCATAACTAACTTGAGTGAGTGTAACAGAGGGCAGCTTTTATAGGGCACATTATGAGATAGCACCTCTGCATGAAGAGAGAGAGAGAGATGGAGATATAGATACACACACGTAAGAAATCTTCAATGGTAGTGTTGATGCTGAGTATTTGAAAATTCCATCCGGCTTCATTCTTTTTTCATCAAAAGATAGACAGGTAATTATCAACTAATAGTATTCAATCTCTCTCTTTCTGCTTTTTTTTTTTTTTTTTTTTTTATCTTCCAGAAACTATTTTGGCTAGCTAGCTTATCATGATTGTTTCTTGAAGTAATCAACAAATGTGTTTCAATTGTTGTCGAATCACTTTGCAATTCTTCACTAATTTATGTTTAGAGATATACACACGTAAGAAATCTTCAATGGCAGTGTTGATGCTGAGTATTGAAAATTCCATCCGGCTTCATTCTTGTTTCATCAAAAGATAGAAAGGTAATTATCAACTAATAGTATTCAATCTCTCTCTCTCTCTGCCGTTTTTTTTTTCCTTCCACAAACTATTTTGGCTAGCTAGCTTATCATGATTGTTTCTTGAAGTACGCAACGAATGTGTTTCAATTGTTGTCGAATCGTTTGTAATTCTTCACTAATTTATGTTTAACCATTCTAAAGCTAAGAGATAAATCCAGAGAGTTTCTTCTTCTTCTTCTTCCTAAATCTGTTTTGCTGAATTTCGAATACAGATAATTAAGAAAGTGAACGTGAATTTGGAAGAGATCAGCGAAAGATGAAGTTCGGAAAGCATTTCAAGCAACAAAAGGTGCCAGAATGGACTGGTGCTTATATGGATTATAATGGTCTTAAAAGAATATTGGGAGAGATCTTGCATTACAAGCAAAGCAGGCAGCCCTCGACACCTTTGAGAGCAGCAATGCAGCACAAATTAACTTCGCATAGACACTTCAGTAGACTAAACCTACAATCTACCAATCTCTCCGGTAAAGGCGATATCGAGGACCAAGTTATAGATGTTAACGCGTCGCCTGATCAAGAGGGTTCTAGAAAGTTTTATTATAAGACTGAGTTCCTGAGGGAATCTGAAGAAGGAGGCGAAATAGAGGCGAAGTTCTTTAAGAAACTTGATGAAGAATTCAACAAAGTTAACACATTTTACAAGGATAAGTCCGAGGAGATGAAGCATTTTTGCTGAATAAGCAGATGGATGCCTTGATTGCCTTGCGGATCAAGATGGAAAACCCTCATTTTGACGGCTCTGATGTGAGGAAAAGTGGTACAAGTGGTGTCGCTGCCACAAACTCCTTGAAGAGTCCAAGCAGAGATACAACTTCAGGTATGCGAGCACATACACAGTGGTAGTTGAGTTTCAAAGAAAACTTTGAGAGATCAGAAAAAAAAAAAAACCAGAATTATTTTAGTTGTTTTAAGTTGGTTAAAGAGCAGAATTTGGTAAGTAATAACTGAAGGATTTTCGGTAGCCTGAGTTTAAAATCTTGACTGAGTTTATCAATGGACCAAGATATTGTGATCTTGGATTTGAAGTTATATCTAAGTTATATATGCGACTCAAATCATTATGACACCTCGCAAATTCAAATATAATTCTAACAAGGTATGTAGTTCAGTATTTCGTGCAATATTATTTGCAGGAGTGGAGGATATGAATGTTGAACACGGAGTTGAGATTAGTAACGATTTTCAGCTGGAGAAATCCTCTTATGAACAGAGTGGTGATGCATCTCTGATCTCATGATCACAGTTACAATAACTTCCTACCCTTAAGAAGTTTAGATTTCTAATTTTGTGCCAATATGCAGGAAGGGAGCATATGGAATTGACCAGTGAGCTGGATAGAAGAACTGGTTGTAACCAAGAAGAGTCTACTCATGGTCCAGAAGTAATTGAAGTGCAAGCCAAAGATCATGGTAATGCTCACCAAGAGAAGGACAACCTCACTGACTACAACGAAGATCCTTTGAAAATCCTTGAGCACGTGAAGATTAATAACACTCTTAAATCTCCACTAGCAACCATAAAAGGTGTCTTTAAGTACTCAAAAGAAGAAGAGCTGAGCTTCAAGAAAGAGGAACTGAAGAAAGTTGAAGAGCGAGTGAGAGTTGCACTAATCGAATTCTACCAGAAACTTCTTCTTCTAAAGCACTACAGGTGGAAGTTTTTCAATGATTTGCACAAATTCTACTCTTGAATGATGTTTTTGTACTTATTGTGTGTTTATTTGTTTTGCAAATGGTCGAACCAGTTATATGAACCTTGCAGCATTTTCAAAGATCATGAAGAAGTATGAAAAGGTCAAGAATTTTACTTAAGGATTTAACGTTCTCTTACATTTCCACATTTCCAATTACTTATCAACCTACGTTGTCCATAGGTCAAGAGGAAGCATTTCATTCTGCATTTTTCTTTTTCTCTGTTCTATTTAAGGGGATTGGAAGGCGGGAGGCGGGAGGCGGGAAAACTTATTCTCAGCAGTTATAAACTATATTCTTGCTTAAATTCCTCTGCTTAATGATTTATTCTGCGTTAGTTCAGATCTCATCAAGGAGAGCTTCCAGATCATACATGACAACAGTGGACAACTCCTGCCTTTGCAACTCTGATGAGGTACGTTGTTTCATCCATCTTCCAGCTGTAAGATCACAGAAGTTGGACATATTGTACTTAGGATACTTGTTTCATTTTACACATTGACAATGAACAAAGTATTTCCCCTGCACTTGAGCTACATATCAAATAAATCAGTGTTCTCCCATTTCAAATTCTGAATATAGTAAAGTCTCTCTCGAACATCTTTTCTTCTCCAACAATCTGGAAAACTATTTGATTGGGGTGGGGGGTGGCTGGCAAACTAGTTGATGATCTTTAATTTATTATAGGTGAATGGTCTCCTTGAAAGGGTGGAGGCTACCTTCGAGCATTTTGCAAACTCAAATCGGAGAGAAGGTATGAACTCTTTGCGGCTAAAAGCAAAAGGGGAAAAGCACAGTGTAACATTCTTCTCAGGCAAGTAACAGTAGTAACTAGTAACTGAAAGATGTCACATCATAACTATGTAACAAGATGAAATTGAGTTTGTAATGGATTTGCAGGGTTGGGGTGACATCTTGGACTGGGTGTCATGGTTCTGTGGCCTGCACTGATTTATTCAGATTTCTTGCTTTCATTTTCAGGATTGTTTTCAGGTTGCTCAATTGCACTTCTGATTGCTGTTGTTTTGAGAATACAAGCTGGAAAGCTTATGGATAAGGCTGAAGGTGCCTCATACATGGTCAACATTTTCCCACTTTACAGGCAAGTGACAGCCATAAACCTCCATGAAGATCTACATTTTTAACCGAGCAGATGAAAATTTTCAAGAAATATTTAGCCAGGCTATGTTTTTATGCAGCTTATTTGCTTTTATAGTCCTGCATATACTCATTTATTCGGCAAACATATACTTCTGGAGGCAGTACCGGGTCAATAACCCATTTATATTTGGTTTCAAGCAAGGAACTGAGCTGGGACATCGAGACGTTTTCCTTTTGGGCACTGGTATTGCAGTACTTGTACTATCCAGCTTCCTGGAAAATTTACACTTGGATTTGGGTTCTAAAGCTTCAAATTACAAAACAATCACCGAACTCGTTCCTTTGGGCTTAGTCACCGTAAGATTCTACTAGAAGCTACAGCTTCTTTTATTAAAATGTTCTAGACGAGATGTAGTGGACAAACTACTGCTCCTTGGAAATTACTTGATATTTTGCATTACACTATAGTGTCATTGTAAATGGGATAGTAGTTTGAAGACCTAAAGTTTGTATAACTCCATACACATATTTCTGTATATAGGTTGTTCTTGCCATCTTAAAGTTTGTATAACTCCATACACGTATTTCTGTATATAGGTTGTTCTTGCCATCGTCTTCTGCCCTTTCAACATCATATATCGTTCAAGTCGTTTCTTCTTTGTTCAATGTTTGTTTCGCTGTATTTGTGCGCTGCTTTACAAGGTAAACAAAGTTAAAAGGCTCTAAACCTCAATAAATAGATGATATAACTAAGGTGAGATGGAAAAGTTTCTTGACAGAAAACGTTTGCAGGTGAGA